AGTTGGATGTAGAGCTGCAACATTCGTACTCTTTTAGACTACAAATGCCCTGGAAGACATGCTATACCCGAGGTTCCTCGGTTTGCTCATCTTCCGAAGTATAAAGCTTACTTACACTCTGAATTCCGCAGCAGTTTAAATTCTGAAGGCCCTAGGCATTCAAGGTTTAAAATTCCCCTGTGTAATTCCCTGTGTAAAATTCCCCTGTGTAATCTAAGAACCAGTGGATCATAGAATTCACCTACAAAGTTTGTCAAGACATATATTCTGGGTCCTTAATCCTAGGGAATTGGATTTAATAAAGCTAGTCTTGGGTCTGAAAATTTTCAAGGTTTCAAGTACCCAAGAACTGAACTATATTCCTCAGAATTCATATGTGAGTCCTAACACTCAAATTTGACACTGGTAGACTGTCAATTTTCCTCTTCTAGAAGAATTTATCCACACAAAACAGCAAACATTTTTTTATGCTTGATATAACCTCAACAGAAGAAAAACTCTGAATTTCCTAGATGTTAAATGTTTGATTAAGGGGCTGGAGAGATGGCTCAGCAGTTAAGCACAATGGCTGCTCTTGCAGAGGACCCTGGTTCAATTTCCAGCATCCACATGGCAGCTTACTTTCTATAACTCTAGTTCTAGGGAATTCAATGCCTTCTTCTGGCCTCTGTGGGCATTGCACAGCACAGGTGCTCTTATATATAGGCAGGCAGAACATATACATAAAATAAAAACAAATAAACCAAAAAATCATTAGAATACATAATTTATCATACCCGGGCAGCAAAACACAAAATAAAACATTAACTGCAACGTGAATTCAATTTTTCAACTCAATGAGACCGAATCTGACTATGGAACCCACTATATAGAGCATCCCAGGCTGGCTTTGATCTCACAGCAGCCTGCCTGACTTTGCCTCCCAAGTGCTGAGAGTAAAGGTGTGGGCTATCACTCCCAGCTAAAGTCAAGCCCTTAACTGATATATGCATTAAATTCTCTACCACTGTAACTACTGTGGGACATAGCCACTATATGAAACTACATTCTGATTTAATAAACATACACCATGCTGGGAAACATAAAGGATACAGAAAAGAAGACAGTCTCTAGTATGAAGAAGCTTCTACTTTAGTAAAGCAGACAAAAACAAATGCACAAAAGTATAAAGCAAATCTCCCCCCGGGATAGTAAAACTGGACTAGCATCCTGAAAGGCAGATTTAGACTTAACAGTCATGTTGTTCTTAGAGGCACATGTGGTTAAATAACTGATAAACATATCTGTTCTCCTTTTATATATTCAGTTCCTAGTATCCACTTAGAAAATACACAGTAAATTTCACTCACTGATAGTATGATGAAAACAGAAGAAAAATCACAACAAACCTGAGAATAAATTCAGTAGGTGATAGTCGCATAACAAAGACAGAAATGGACTGTTTCTTGAATAGTTCATAACAGCACCTGAACTTTGAACAACCAGCAACCTAAGCATGAACCTCTCCTTAGAACCTTCTGGATATAAACCTTCCTTAAGTGCCCTTTTATGAAGAAGTTACGGGATGTTAAAATGAGAACTACCTGCTATCCAAGTGCCTTTACAGAGATCACCAATGGAAGCCTGGCACCAACCAACATTCATTTTCTAAATTCCTTAGCGATGGCTATAGTTCCCTATAGTTCCCAGAAACTATGCTAAAGAAAAACAGTAAGTCTTTTAAATCTTTCAAGTGCTTTTGTTTCCAGTAAGCCCAAGGAAAAGGACACACCTAATTTCATTCGTTTGCACAGCAAATTCAGTGACTCTTTTTTGTAATTTCAGAGAACAGTACTGCAAGTTTGAACTTGTTCAACAGCTTAGAATAAACCACAGGTGACGTAAATAGTCCATTTCCGAAGTTAATTTTGAAGGGGTGGAGAATAGCTTTCCACTGACTCTAACACTTAAACTGTAGACAAGATTTCAAGTGTGTAAGAAGTTGATATATTCCAAGTGGCTTAGTGGATAGAGGCTGGATTTGAAATCAGCAAACTGAATCACAGGTGCTTCGAGCCATTTATACTTCTGGAAATTCATTTTCATTTTCTGAGCCTCTGTTTCTTCACTGTGTTGTCCTCGTTTGTGGCTGTGCCTTAACAGACCTCAGTGTTTCAGGGTTTTACAGGTACCTGGTTACTATTTGTTACTGAGTATAATTCACTGGTCAGATGGCATAATGCTGACCTGAGTGTTTGTGAGGATGAAATAAGATACCCATGGACTTGCCTGACACAATCATCTACCAGAAGATTTGTGAGGAAATAGGTATCTGAAGAAGAACTGCATATATAAAAATCTTGTACTGTGGCTCAGGGTAAGGTAGAAATAGTTATGTTTAGGAAAGTAAGGAGATGATTCATTTTGCTTTAATGATGAAAACAAAGCTTCAGAAGCTTGAGTCATCTGAGATGAAGTAGTGGGCTCAGAACATGCTTAGTAAGAGAGAGCAACAGGTCAGGGCTAGAAAAGTCAGCAACTCAGGCCTGAGTGAGCAAGGCTGGAGAAGCCACTCAGGAGTATAGCCAGGGTGGAAAGCTCAAGAAGGGAAAGGGAAGCTCAAGGCAATTATCACCGAGTAAGCAAATATCACTAGAGGCAAACAGTGTTTGAACAACCAAAAACTATCTTACCTTTTCAGTGTCCCAGAAATGAAGAATATACAGGCATAAGAAAAGAAGTTTTACAAATGCAGTAATTTTGACCTGAAGGGAAAAACTTATTTCAAGGATTGAAGCAGTGGTATAATCCTGGATCCATGACTGCTCAGTGAAACCTGCAAGGCAGATTTAAATATAACTGAGCAAATTAAAGTCAAGGTAAGATTAGAAACTACATATTTGTAATGACTCTCTAACATTAGGGTCTGTTAGTAAAGAGCCACAAATAAACTAAGGACAACAAAAGAATGCATCTTAAAATACCTTATTCAAATAGTAACATGGAAAGGATATCTCTACTTGATATAAATAATGTCAAAGAGGACTAAATCTCTTTTCCTGTCTTGTCTACAATAAAGCAGCAGACACAAACCAAAACCAAAACAAACCAACACTGAATTTAGTTAACTGAAACTAAGAGAGATAAGGAACTTTAATAAAACCTACTTCTCTAAGGCTTAACCTCTCCTCCCTAGAAAACTCATACTTCAGCAAGTAGTTTACTAGCAAACGCTTGAATCCACAGTGAGGGCAAGGACACAGAGGCTGGAGATGCACAAGCAAAGGTCTAATTTTCAAAAAAGAATACTGCTTCTAAACCGGAGACAAGAAACTCCACAAACTGAGAAAAACTAATAAGCCTGTTGTTAAAATGGCATCTGGACACTTAGAAAAGGAACAGGTAGTTAAGAATTCACAAAGTAGTCATTTCCTTTTTTGACAATGTTGCTATGCCAGTAGGGAAGACCTCTGATGGAGGCTGTCATATCTGCTGTGGGTTCATAGCTGTACCTGGGAGGAAGGAGTCACCCTTCCCTAATCCCTTAGATAAAGGGCTGTGTCTTTTTCTGAATCTATAAAGATGCTGCGCCAATGTCCCATGCTTGCTGCCTTGGGACAAGAAAAGAAAATATGACCAGGTAATGTGAGTACTCACTGATGAATATATTTAGCAAGAACATTCTGTGTTAATTGAAGGTGGAAGATGACTGGGAAATCAAATGATGACATGGATGACTGTGAGAGATGTAAAATTGAGTGGCAGAGTTAACCTTATGTTAGTACATAACAGATGAACATGGCAACAAGCTAGAAAAAGAGGCCCAATTTAATACAAACTCTGTATACTACTACAACTGAGTGTTGAACACAAACTGCAATAGGTTGAGAAGGCTTTTGATATTGTTGCCATAAAAGCTCCAAGGCTCTACTTCAGGAAATACAGTAATTAGAATGAAGTCAGTATGCAACTTTCAACTCTGACTTTTCAACGAAACTTTGCATTCAGTTCTCCGCATCAGGTTTTGAGGATACTGGATGAGGAAAGGTAATGGAGATAGATCCAGGCAAATGAAGCATTCTCTTATACGATGAAGAATAAATATTTTGGGGCTGGAGAAATGACTTAGAGGTCCTGCAGAGGACCGAGTTGGGTTCCCAGCACCACACTAGGCAGATCACAACTGCCTGCAACTCCAGCTCTAGGGCATATGATATTGTCTTCTGGCCTCTGCATACACCTGTGCGCGCACACACGCACACACACACGCACACACGAACATAATTAAAAGTAAAAATGAAACTTTAAAAAGAAAAAGAATAGATGTGTTCTGTTGGCTCGGGAAGACAGAAATGCAGATCTACTGAGAGGTGGGTGCAGAGGGATTCTTTGCAGGAAGTCAATGTCATCCACAGGTAGATTTCCAGACCAATCGCACCAATCAATGGTAAAATGGGGGTTGGAAGAAGCATGACAGTGCTTTAAAGGACTATTTTTCTTTAAAGAATTCTCAATCTTGTTTGTACATGATAACCAATCATTCTGATTTACTGGTCTGGTGTAGGGGCTCCATTAGAAAGAATTAATTAAAGCTTAATAATAATACTAAGATATTAGTTTGGAGAATCAGTGACTACAAGACTGTTTGTTGAGATGCTTTCCCTAAAGTCACTTCCCAATTTGAGAAGATAGGTAGAAATTAACTCAGATTTATACTTCAGCTAGGCACACACATATAATTGCCTTAGTACAGTGCTTGGCATATAGCAAACTCTGGATAACTATTAGCTATTTTTACTGTATCTTCCCTTGTTCAGTGGAGAACTGTATACTGCAGATGGGAAATCTGAGACTCTGAAGGTGACTTAGCTTTCTAAGACCTACAATACACTTCAAAGTAAGGATTTGAGTCATATTAGGTCATAGCTACTTCTAAATCCCACAGCTCCGCTTTGCTACGGGCCCTCTCCAAATATCAGGAAGTTTATGCAAATCGGTGGTTTATCTGAGTGAGCATTTAAAGCATAACAGTGCCTTTTCCTTTTGACCTATTGGTGAGGAAGCTCTCTAAAGTGCAAGATCCACAATTTTTCATAGAAACGTGGTTCCTGGAAGCTCCCCTCTGAGGAGAAGGGAAGTGGCCCTTCAGAGCTCAAAGGGTTTGGTAGCAAATCCGCAGAGTGCCCAGTAAAACTTCCTATGCTGGTGGATGGGTAAGTAGTTTACACATCTGCCTTCTCTATTGAATCTAGCTAGAGGAGGTGGATTACCCTAACTCTGGGGGAGAAGAACCAGCCCAGGGCCTGGCTAGTAGTAGGGTTTGTATTCAGTGGCTGCTTTTCAGTGAAAAAGGAAACTAAACTTAGAAATTGGGTGTCTCTCTTTCTGTGAGCGCGCGCGGGGCGGGGGAGAGGGGGAGAGAGAAAGAGAGAGAGAGAGAGACAGAGAGAGAGAGAGAGAGAGAGAGAGAGAGAGAAAGAAGGAGGAGGAGGAGGAGGAGGAAGAGGAGGAAGAGGAGGAAGGGAGAAAGGGAGAGACCCATGAGATAAGATAAAGTTTCCCTTGTGAGCTGCAATCATCGAACTCCCCGCTCTCTCCCGCTCTTTAACTTCGTTGATTAAAATCTCAGCTTGCAGGGTTTGGTGCTTTTGAATTCCCTGTATTTCGTTGCTTCACTATAGGCGAGAACTGCTTCAGATTAGGTGATTTTCTCCCCTTCTCGTTTGAGAGTAAAACTGAATGCAGGAAAAAGGGAGGCGGGGGTGTAACTATTTTGGAGCCGGCGGAGGGGATTGGGCACCAGCCCTACTAGTGGGATTCTTTAAATTCTCTGGTCTTTCCTCTTCCAGAGCTTTACACGCATCGGCTCCTCCCCCTGGGCCTCCAAAAGTTATCTTTCTTTTGGGTGCGATTAGTGAGTGAAACCCGAAGCTTAGGGGGTCATAAGAAACTAGAGCAAGTTGGAGCCAGAACGGCCCGGCAGGGCACGGGTGCGTGGAGTCCCGGCCGGGGCGGCGGTGAAGGCCGAGCCCGGCTCGGAGCCGCGTTCCCGGAGGACAGAGTGGGCCAGGGGCCGGGATTGGGCCGGGGCCGGGGGTCCCGCTCTCCCCTTCCCCATCCTCGCCTCCGCGGCTCTGCTGACGTTGCCGCTTCCTCCTCCCGGAGGCCGGGCCCC